AATTTACGATGACGATTGTAAAAATTATGATAGGTACTTATTGATGTTGAACTTATGAGAGAAGGAATATTCATTGATATATCTTGACGTAGAATTTCCATTAAACAAATGTTGTATCTCCTTTCATATTTCCAATAAATTACGTCTTTTCAGCATACTATATAGACATCCTTGTGAGACCCCTAATGAAAATTAAATGCTTTAACTAAAAGACACCATGAAATTACTACTAATTGTATTCAAATTATACCCAAAAATATAGGTCCTATGCTAAATTAATGACTGTATTTTAAAATGAGTAGAATTAATTAAAATATAAGCTATCGCCTATTTAATCTGAAGCCAGTAAAATATTTATTAAGATCAAATACTTCCATTTCAATTGAACGATTATCATATTTCGTAACGAAGCTGCGAAAATCTGACAAATTGATTTGATCATTATAATATCTGAAGATCCAAATATTAACTAAATAAGCAAAACACTAATACCAGTATGAGACAATTTTTTTAGCAGCGCTACTGAACCGAAAGATTTTCTAGATGTTCAACCTCAAGATAGGTAAAATGGCTTTCTTCAGGATGAATAGTGTGCCAAAAAACCGTGACACTGCGGATCAGTATTAAAATCAGTTAAATGGAACTTATTGTTATATATTAAGTTTCTTGATTACGAAAAAAACAATTGACAGCGTAGATCGGAGGACATTGTTGAGTACCTGAAAAGATTGTACGACAATCTTACAAAGCGCTGAATTGGAAACTCGTGGATGGGGGCAGCTCACAAATGTGACGCAAGTGAATTCTTATGTCCGACAACTCTGGCTACCTTCGTCATTCCTATAGCTTCTGAAGAGCTAAACATATCAATAGAGGCATGGAATACAGTGAACACTTAGAAAACAACAGGCCGAACCGAAATTCGCAGATTACTTGGTCCTTCTATCCTACAAACAGCAACTAAATATAGGCGAAGAAAGTCAGCGTCTCAAGGGCCTCCAGAGAAGTAGACCTTATGACCTACAATTAAACACCTCGGGCAGTAACCAAATCACACTTGATGACGAAGCTCTGGATAAGATGGAAGTCTTCATTTTCCTGTACAGCACCAGTGATAAACATGAAAGATATCATGGTACGAATTGGGAAAGCAAGGACAACATCCCTACAATTGAAGAACGTCTGGAATTCAAAAGAACTATCGGTCAATATAAGGGTCAGATTTCTTAACACTAAAGTTAAAACGGTCCTACGTTTTGGGGATGACGCTTAGATAACTATCACAACCGTTACCAAGGAGGTACAAGTAATATTTAGCCTCCTCTAGTGCAAGATATTCCGGGTCTATTAAGCAGGGGCTCTCAGCGGTAAACTATCTTACAGTCGATGAGGGAATTAAGAAAATACTCTGGAGGTGATTAGGTCAAAGTTCACGGAAATGATTGAAAGGCAAGAACGAATTCGGAATAGTTATGGTATAATGGAAAGAGGCTGACCAAAGAACAAATTGAGCTGTTGGTGAGATGCAAACTTCAAGAGCGTAAATAGCACTTTGGAATAAGTTGGAAAAAGCTCTTCTGATAGAGTTGATTGAAGATCTCTGGTCTACGGCCTATACTATCCAAAGGGTAACATGCTAAATCAAGTAAACAAGAAATATCACCTAAGAAGTCCTCACTAAATGGTTAATTATTGGTATATCGATAGAATTAGTTTAACACAAATGATAACATAGTAGGACTAATCTACTAACACTTTGAGTCAATATTGATGAGACACATGATTATGACGTTTGTCCTATACATGTTGTTAATGTCCCGTTTTTTTAGGCAATTTATTCTACTTTAATACACAAAGAGTTTCATTGATCACTTATTAATATTGACGTAAAGTTTACCGAACCAAACCAATTCAATATTTATATCTACGTAATTGCGTGTAATTAAAATGTTTGCAAATCAACACACAGAGTTAGGACAGTTGAAAGTGGGAGAACTTGGAAAATCCCTTAATGTTTGGTTGAAAGACATTAAAACTGATGTAAGAGTTCCCACACATCTGACAATATTTCTGAAAGAAAATTTTAAGTGATATTAATTTAGATTTTTTCATAATGATTTTCAGAAACAGTATCTGAAGTTGTCGATTTGAAAATATACTACTCACAAGTAATACAGTTGTTTTAATGAAAATGGTTGTGCATTGCATCATCCAGTTGGAGACAAAATTTTACGGTCTAATTTTTTGTAGTATGTATTGTGATAAAACAACCCCTAAAAGTACTACACGATTCAAGTGTTTACACGGGCAGCATGGAGATGGGTTGGGACAAATTTATTGTAGTCTTGTGAAATGGAACGTTCATTTTGCGAAGCAAATATGTCCGTCTTTTTTACAGAATGGAGTTGCTAACGCCACATCCAATCCTACTTTATTAGAACTTGTGACCGTCAGTAACCCTAAAAGGACTGTAGTTGTAGTTACAGTGTTATGTGCCAGATAAAATTTATTAAGTTTGCCTAAGATAAATGACAGATAAATATCCCAATAAGGAAAAGTTCAATGAAGAATCTTACGAAAACCTAGTGAGAAACTACCTTAGCCTGTCTAAGTTGAAACTAAACAGTAAAGTATTTTTTTACTCCAATTTCCATATAAGTCAACCCTGGCAAAATTAGTATAGACGTTTAATATCAAATTAGTAGAACGAAATAGAGATTTCTTCTGGTGAAAATCTGGTTAATATTACCAATCAACATTAAACAAATCCACATCTTCAAAAAAATAACTAATACAGAAACAAATAAGTGTTTGACAATAATATTTTGTAAACCGATATAAACTAAGTGAAAAGCTTGTAAATATGCTGTTAAGTGAATCTGCACTTAAATTAATATTAGTTTTGAGAAATCAAGTTAATTCAAGTAAAAGGCAATTTAAAAAACCCAGAAAAATAAGTTTACAAATTAGAAGCTATTGAAGAATTATGGGAACGATTATTCTATATAGAGAAAATAGCAATCTAGTGAATTGAAATCAGCCTTAACTATTTGTTCGTCTAATCATATAATAAAATTAACACCTGTATTCAGAATTTATCAACTGTTTATGTTATTCATAAACACAGTCGGTAACAGCAGCGGATATAACGGAATTGCAGTCATTATTCGATATCGTGCAGACCGTTAAATTTGAATTGGCTTCTAGGAGCGCCTCGAATGATAGAGCTGTTTTCCCTTCATTTAGCAAGCTGTAGTTCTGATGAATAAAGAAATGCTCGACCAGGCTAATCTTTGCTATTATCATACTGGTTGTATTCTCTACTAGTTCTGTCTCATTATACGCTTATAAAAACATTGTTGTTACTAATACACATAAAAATACCGTATTATAACTTCCGAGAATCGAAAGGTTTGCTGATATAGAAACTTTGGTTAATTTTAGTTGTGATCCTAAAATTGAGCGACTTATAATGTGACCTTGAAAAAAACGTGACACGTCAGAAGGCAGCAGATACGACTGAATAATAGATTAAGTCGAATAGTATATTGTTTTTACATGATTAATTAACTTTTCTAGGTTTGTAATAGGTTCTTGACCGTCAGACCTTTTTGTCAATTTATATATATACTAACCCATGATTCAAACCATAAACTGTACTATTGATCCTATTCGAACTCTAACAAAAATAGCAGAGAAATATCACCTTATCCAGAATTTTTTCGCACAATCATCATTTTCATATTTACAGGCGAATATTGTCCTCAGGAATTCAAAGTGAATTGAATTACTTAGTGTGTTCTCAACTAGGATTTCTTCACTATAAGGCCGACATTCTGATATGATATCGTTCGATAATGTTCATCCTAATTTAACCCTGGAATCATTTCTTCGACCCTAATCGACTTGGTGTTATAATTAAATATAACCGAATCACGTTCTCTTCTCTTTAATTGCGATTTTGGGAGGAATATTAAAGTTTCGCTGTCGTTATGTAGTAGTAGTAGCAAGAACTGAAGGGATGAACTTTACCCATTTTTAATAAGAATTTCAAATCACGAAATGACTGTTAGATATTGGAAACTAGGGAGCATCATATAGCCCTTCAGTCTTAATTTGGGACTCGTTGGCGGTGTTCACTCGTGATTTCTCCAGACGTTCGGGATCCGAGGCAAGCGCTTAGAATTCTGACCACTAATTTGGTGTACGGTGGTTGACATTCCTAACAATCATCAACATATAGAATGAAGATTAACTTAGCGTTATACACACAGGTGGATTCCTATAGCATATACACGAATTTGTTGTAATTCGGAGCTTTTTAATTAAAAAGATAACCTAAAAATTAATGTTGTAATGATATCATTGACATTACTTAACAGGAATGCCTTAACAACACACTTGTACTCAAATTCTCATTCACACATTCGACTATGACCCACATTTCTTCTGCGAGTGATAATGGTTGCATCTTTATGCCTAAACTTAGACAAATGAAACGGGAACCAACCAAATCTTTGGGATTTAGTTGCACAAATTAATAAGATATAATTTCACCATAATATATATATGGAGAATATGGAGAATAACCATAAGAACCATTTGTGGACATTCTGGTACATATCGACATACAGACCTAAGTGCCATAAGTTTGACTGAATTAACATGCAATCATTCATTTATGAACACCGTAGAACGTGACAGAAGTAAATATCGGTCCTCAAATTACATCAAAACAGGATAGGAATTAAAAAAGTCTAAGTAAAGATATGTATGATGATAGAAAAGTAAGAAACAGTAAAAGGAATCAAACACAGGGTTTAGAGGGCTTCAAGCATTCTTCTACGCCAGACTGATACCATAAATTGGTTCGGCTATCTCGAACCTGTTACCAACTTACTCAAACACTAATGAATACAACGTACTTGAAAAAGTGGTATTGTGATTAGACAACTGGGCATACAACTAATGGGCTACAAGTTTGAATCTTGTGCCATTTATTTCAGTTTGGGAAGCCGCGTAGTATCGTCAGCCTTCATACAAAGCGTGGTTAAAACCCTTCATAAAATCATGTACTTCGCAGATGAGTTACATGGGATATTGAGGTAGGAGGTGGTTATATATGGGTAGCGTAGGCTTTAACTATTTAGGTTGGTGAAGGTTTAATGTTGAGTCGAATCCAAATAGGGTATGCTGTGAAGCACGTTAAAAATAATCTAATTCTGTTCGGGTACAATTTATACTTTTGAGTAATCCATGCCGAAATATTATAGTTATTTTATCACCAACGATATACCCATACCACAGAATTTGAACATACAAAAATACTTTAAAAATTTTCGGCTATATACAATATCATGAAGACACCATATGCAGTAAAATAGAAGTCAGAATAAGAATCGATTTCTTTTATACAATATCGCAATAATGAAATTTAACTGGCATTACACAAATTTAGAGTTGAAGTGAGAATAAAAACTATTAAAGATATCCTACTTCTTAGGGTATTTATACAGTAAATAATAGAATATTACAACTAGAAACTATCGGCGAGATCATTTAGGTTGTTCTACATCAGTAAAAGCTGTTTTTAACATAGATTGAATTGTAGTCAATTTTTCTCTTGGTTTATCGAGTATTTGACCGGCTAATTTTTCCGCTTCATCAATACGTTCCCAATTTTTAAATTTTACAACATGTATATCTAAATTAATTGAAGAAAAAACAATAATCACACATTCAGAATTTCGCTAAACTGTGACCGAATAAATTATATTCTACAAATTATTAAATCTAGGTTTGTGCAATTAGCTTTAAGGAATACATTTTCTATTAGTGAGGAATAATACTACTGTGGTGGTACCCTCAGATTTGAATCAACAGCTTGCAGGTTCGAATTAGACACCATCAAATTCAGTTTGGACATAAAAAACTGCAGACCCTCACACAAGAAATGAGTAATTGGAAGTCGAGCAAACAAACTTGTAGATATAAGCAAAGATGGATAGTGGCTAGCAGTGGAATCCAGGACGCGCGTTTCGTCCTGTTTGGGACTCGTCAGCTGGATGTACCTGCATCTCAGAGTTGATGTTCACTCTGGGACTCGAACTCAGTACCGTTCGCTTCAAACGCCATCGCGTTATCCACTTAGCTACTGCTTGTAAATTTAGGCAATATCGAGGCATACGCACAGTATGCACATATGTCAATAAGAGACTGATCAATTTCAGTCCAAAAACATCAATGGGAAGATTCAAGTAAAACAATATCAAGTGAATTAAACTTGTAGATAGTTAACAGATTTTCTTTAATAATAGAAAACGCATTTTTCTGTCATAGATCTTAATTTAGGACAAAATAATTCCAATTCTTATGATTTCTAAGCATAACCATACTGTAGGGTGACACAATTCATAATCTTTATTTCCTTCATTGATAATTTTAATGGATGAGTATAGGTCCGTAAAGATTCAGTCGTAACTTTCCATTATATTCTTTACAAAAAATAAAACAACTTCAAAACAAGTAATTTTTGTCCTGATTATATATTCATACTTTAAATTTCTCATTCATTTATCACTATTTCTTTAAAGTAATTAGTCCCTTTGATAAATTTCGATAATGTAATGAGAAGACGAAGATTATCAGAACTATGTGATATGTTGCCCCCAAATGCCCTGGTACGGCTGAGAGTGGGAAGAGTCCGCTCTCCCTCTCGAAATGCTCTCACATGGCCACGCGTATATAGCCTCTACCAGGGTAGTCCTACTCATTGCCTTCTCGTGGCGGAGGTGTTGTTTACGAAAATGAGAGGACGAAAAGCGAATGTCCGGCGCTTTAACCGGATTCCAAACCAATAGTGCACATGGGCTCCAGTATCCTGAAGGAACAAATGGCGTATGAACCAATTGTTGGTCACCGGCTTCCATGGGACTGCATCTCCTTATGATACTCCACTGTTTTGTGGATCAGACCTTCAGGTCGAAGGCTCCGGGTGTGGCCCCCTAAGAAAACCACCTGCTTCGGTTTGGGCACCCGGGCAGTATCACAGCCCTTACAGAAATCAAATGAGATTTGTGTGGCGCATATGTATTTGGTACCTCCTTGTACCTTTGTATGATGTGATATGTTAGCGCAATACATTTCGAACAATCTGATCACACTTATACTTGTTAAGAACATTTTTACATAAAAATAAAGGGTCAACTAGACTGGAAATGGGGTAAGAGGAGACAAGGATAATAACAAGAGTAATAATAATAATGTGGACACAATTTGGAACCTAATCACTATGGATAATAAACCAATATTACCAGAGTGGGTTTAAGGTGAGAACAAACTGTTTTTGAACATACAAATGGGTTTGAATTTTCGTATGGCTAAGGCTTCCGTAAACCTTAGTATACACCCTTTTATACAACATACACCGCTACTTCACTAAATATTTAAGTCAATCAGTGATGAGATATTCGCGTGTATACTGGTCAATAAATCACACATTTTCTGCACAAAGCTGTGAAAAGAAAATTATTCGAACGATAAAAATAAAACTAAACATGAACTTTGTGACGACTCTTACTAATAACTTATCACTTGTGAAATGCTAATGAGTGTAACGTAAAATCGATCAGAAAGTATATGTAATAGGATATTTGTTTTATGAACCAATTGTATTCACGCATGTGAAATTCATCAAAAAACTATCACGGATCACAAACAAGTAGCAATACGATAATTAAGTGAAAAGTGTAGTTACTAATCAATGAGTTTTAAGTGTACAGGAAATTGAAAACATTGACTGCTCAAGTGATTGATAAATGAGTTAGAAGACATAAATTACAACTGCCAACCTGCATGTAAAATTCCGACTGGTCTAGAGAAATAAAATGGAATCCGATTTACGGTAACTAGATGAATGCAAAGTTTTAATCTACAAATTTATTAGTCGATGACTTTAATTAATGTAGTAATACGAAGAACTTCCTGATCAGGACTTTTTAAAAGTATAGACTCGTAACAGAAGACTTTACAAACCAAATGCATAGCTTGACATCGATAGTGAGAAAGATAGATACATGTCCAGTACATTTTCAAACTCAATCTGTGGTAACTAAATTTTTATGTTGGTTTTCTCGTAGTAAGATATAATTCAAAAGACTAAGTTGAAAGCGAGAATCTCATTTCACCCAATTTAGTTTCAACAGTGGGTAGTTGTATAATCAAATGGAGACTTGGTTACTGAGTACCACTAACGTGAATAATCAGTGTAATAATATAAGCAGTATTAAAATAACCCAAGTGAGCCTCCTATTAGTCTAAATATGTAATCAATAGGTAAAAAGAAATACAGAGTGAAACATCAAGCTTGATCAATGATACTTGTTAATTTTCTCACATAATATCATGTGTAAAAAACATGATGAAATCGTAAGTATGGTCAAAAGGCAAAAACTAACTTCTTTCGTTAAGGTAACGTTGGACTACAGATAGTCCACGTTTGTTTAATACATCTACATGACCACGTTTTTCAAATTCAGACAAATCTTTAAGAATAGTTTCAGCGGTTTGACGAGCATCTACAGCCGTATCAGCAATTACACCAATTGGACCACGTTTAATCCAACCAGCACAATACATTGGGCTTAAAGAGAAACTATATGAAATTTGTGGTAGATCAACTACGCGTCCATTGTTATCTTTGCAAAGAATCACCCCATGTTGTTCATCGAATGGCAAATCTGGATCAATACGGACGCCACGGTAGCCAATACTACGCACAACTAAGCCACAAGGTAAAGTTTCTAAGGGTTGAGTATCGTCTATTACACCTTGCTGATGAGGACCGGTCGGACCCTAAGATAAAAATAAAAGATGTAATGTTTTGTCTTGAATCAGAAAAGGCGTCATTTCATTAAATATAAGCAAAACAATTTACCACCAAATGATCTAAACAATGAAAATTGATCAATGCTTATCGGCAAAAATACTAAATTAAGAAATTGAAAAAAAATGCCAACAGATTGTATTATTTAGTGGATATATGCAAATATTGTTATTACATCAGCTGGAGAAACGCTAAAATTTGAGGTGTTGCTAAGTCCCAGGATAAGATGAACCAACTGTCTTATGTTTATCTCTTGGTTTTCAATAGTTCTGTGTCTAGTGTTACTTCATGACGAAGACAATCTTCGAAGTGGACCAGTCTGCACAAATCAATGGCTACAACAATGATGGCTATGCACCGTCTCTTCAAATTGATTTCAATAGGTAAGCTTTAGATTCTAAGTAGTAAGAAGATGAATATGAATAAAGACCTAGATAGCCTTGATAGTTACGTAAAGCAAAATAGTAAACAAAGACCACATCCTTCTATAAAATCAGTTAATATTTAGCGACAAGTATTAGGTTTCAAACATACAGTGATGGTCAGTCATAAATCAACCATTATACATTAATAAGTCAGGCTTCTTTTACGGCTGTCAACAATTAAAGACGTCAAACGACGTATGTATCAATGCCCAGTTAAGTATGAAATTTACTGGGGGCCGTATATTCACACTGCTGATAGATATCAACAAGTATAGAACATGGATCTAAATGATTCCTAATGGTCGCATTCAGCAAAGAAATCAGTAATAAGATTTTCCAGATATTAAGAAAAACAGATTTCTAAGAGAGGATAATATGGAGAACTAATTATTTTGTCTAACTTCATTCTTGTTCGGCTCATTCATAGTTTTTTTCGCAGACTTTCTGTCATGAAACAGTTAGGAAATAATAACGAATTTAATTCATAATCCAGTATGACAAACTGAATTCTGTTTTCATTAATAAGATACTGGATCATAATTTGTGGTGAGAAACAAGTATTCCGTTAACCACAAGAATTCAGTGACTTCTCTTTCAGACGACACTCACTGATAAGTAGTAATTATGAAGTCGAGAGAAACATTTCGGTTTAAGAAGATAGACATAAAGATTTCAAGTTTTTTAAATTCTAATATAAGAAATTTTTATTCATTTTCTTATCGAAAACATCGTTCCCGATAACGAAGTTTCAGAGTTTTTAATTACCATTAGATTTATATAGGCTTAGATTGTCAAAATCTGTTTTACATACAGTGTGAAAAATTATAAATAATTTAAGCATGTGAATTAAGGAGGATGAGACTAAATTTACGATTAATAACAATAAAACTTAAGGAATCTAACGCAAAATCACCGACAACGATTTTATATGTATACTTTCAAGTTGGAACATGAGAGAATAAGCAGTTCTAAATACAGCATTCTACAATTCGTGTTAATTTACTAGAATCTATTTTATACTTGGAACTTCGTAGCCCGAACTAAAAGAGTTATATGATATTACATTGAATGCATAAACTTCCATACAATACTCCATATGATTTATTTGATTTTATATTGTAGGTGCAACTCATGAAGATTGATGGGAACGTGGCATGAAATAAAGCAATGCTTAGGTGTATTGGAAGACCGTCGCTAAAAAGGAAAGGCTATTTACGCATCACCGTTTTGCATTCTTACGACTGAAATTTAAAACTAATAAATGGTGATATGAAATTATCATTTTATATAATACATGGCTCTGTAATTACACCTGAAGAGACGAATTATAAGTATATTATAAATCAGTATAAAAATGTCGGTATAAATAACACAAATATTTACTTTTAAATATTACAGTTACAACACTTACATTTAACTTAACTGTTGCTAATTTTATGTGAGAAACTATGGAACGATTTTTGTCAGAATGATGTTCCCCATAAGAAACAATTTCTTTTGGAAAACGTAAGAACTGTAAATTACAATGATACACTGGGTATGTTGTATGATTCGTCTTGTGATCGGAAGAATTATGCATTTCTAACAGAAATTCTGTTAAACGACGTCGAGGGCGAGGAAGTTCTGTAAATAAAGTTAGAACGTCAATATATATGCCGTTTTGAAAAAAATGTTAAAGGTAGGTTTTTGAAATCATATTCAAGGAAATCAAAACTGAGGAACGAACAATAATGGTTTCAACTCAGCTTAAGCTTTTCTTAACTATCTATTACACCTTTCTAGAACCGTATTCAGTGACTTTGGATCCTGTGAGAAATTTTATAAGTCGGGTTGTGATTATTTTTTAGTCATTATTAAGTCTTGGTACTTCTTAGGTCAAATATTTACAATTATACGATAAAAACTCAATTTGAGGATAACGATTTCTGGAAAGAACAAGTAGAAATGTGGTAAACTAGTTATGCGTAAAATTGCAGGCTAGCCAACCACTATTTGAAATAGATATACACCAAACATTTAGATTTTTGACATAGGTGTTCCTGGTAGTAACGATCCCTTCCTCCAATTTTCCGTACAATTATCTCTTATTTGAAGGCGGATTGGCGTTTAACGATGAAGTGTCTATGGTAAGTGTAGAAACTAAGAAATTAGGGATGATTTGGACATGATTTTATTAATCTTAAATACAAGCACTGCTTCAGGTAAAGTTTGCATTAATACATAGGGCAGGGACTTCATTTTATTGAAAACCTGAGTTACCCTAGGAAGGTTGTTGACTAAAGAAATATGTATAGATTAATTTTACGACAGCAAAATGACACATAATGTAGATGAACCAACTGACTTCCTACCAAAAAAATCAATCTACTACGGAACAGTGTACTTTTTTTATCCCAGAGATAAAACTATTGTTAACGGCAGATAACATGAAATTTAATGTATTTCATCACAAATATCTTCATAGAGCAACTTTATTGTGGCAAAGTTATCAAATTAAGCTAGATGATAAGTTTTGTGTCTAAACATGGAGCACCTTCTTACAGCAACGTTCAACCGGTAAACCCATAACCCTGATAAGACGTAATTATACACGAACATTCGAGGCTAATCTGATAGATAGAATTTCCTATTTATCAGTATGGGTTTGTAAAGATTGTCGAGTCTTTGATCGTTATCATGAATCGATCAATGTTAGATCACCATTGGAAACCTGTTGATGCTATTCTTCACGAAAAACTAGGTATATTTTCTCTTAGATAATTGATGAAGCCAACCAAATAAATAAAATATCAGTATTTCCAAACTTAACTGCATAATAAATAGTACTGTTGGTAAGTATTACCTGATAACAACTCTTGAATTTGATCAGATGTCCCCATAGTTACAGAGAATACATCCTTTGGTAGTAAGTTTATGAAACATTTAGACTGAGATGAAGTTATATGAAGTTTTGAGAGTTCGCGAATTTCTTTTAGAGTAAACGCCACATGTAAAGGACCTCTTCGACCAATTAAAATGACATTCTTAACTTTACTTTTTGATAGACAATCAATCACAGGCTCTGGTATATCGGTAGACTAAATGTAAATCCATAAATCGCAATTTAATTACCCTTAATCGATCAACTGGAGAAAGAAGAATCCGCGCAACATCAACTGCTACATTCCCCATACCAATAATAGCAACTGTTTCACAGCTAAGATCAGGAGAAAACTTATTAAATGTAAATTTTTTAAAATGCTGTTTACATTGACGTTGCTGGGTGCACCGTTATACCATCCTACTAAATCTTTAGCAGACAAAACACCTGGTAAATCCTTTATCTGTCAGATATCTTAAATGAATATACCTCTCCAGGAATATCCAAACGCCGATCAACAGCAGTACCATAAGCCTTGTAAAATAGAAAATTTATCATACTATGAAAATAAAAGCAAACCCAAATAATGACTGAATAAGCTTCTTGTAATTCTCTCAGTCTAATATCTCTTCCAATACAAACATTGCCCAAGAAAGAAAATCGTGTATTCTTAGCAACATCTGTAAAAGTATTTATCACATTCTTGTATTAAAGAACAGTAAAATAAAAATTAGCCGACAATACTTTTACTTCAGGATGATCTGGAGCAACACCATAACGGACTAGACCAAAAGGCGAAGGAAGTTTTTCAAACATATCGATATGCACACCTGGATGGTTCTACACTTGTTCGTTAGTTAACTTGATCAATTGAGTAATTACTTTTAGTAAGGTCTGAGCAGTATAAAATGCTGATGGGCCACTACCAATGATACAAATTTGAATTTGACTTGAAAATTGTCTTTTTAATAGACGAAAAGGAGACTTAATGGCTGAATTAACTTGTTTTAAAGTTCTGTAAGATAAAAGTTTATATTTACTTAGCCTCATTGAGAAAAAAATGAATTGATTATGAGGAGCGGCCTTCTTTTGTTAACAAGAAATGAATATATCGACTGTACTTATCATGTAGTCCATCTGAAATAAGTAGGAAAAACTCAACAAATTACACAATTAAAGCACAGCTCGTTTATAATGTAAAAATATCTGTTGAAATTTCGGTAAAAGTGAAGATGCTATTATTAGCTTCAACCTCACTATAGTGCATGAGGCTTTTGCTAATCTCTTCTTCCCTGTTCCGCTAAGAAGATTAAGAAGTTTAGTTGTGAAAAAGCCTTGTTGATTAAGACAGTAGAAATTCAAAAATGCATTTAAGATTACCAATAATATGTCGATTACAATTATTATGATTTGGGAACTGAGTAGTTTTGAATGAACACAAATCATAGTGAAAGTCTATGAACATAATTCACACTAAATAAATTGGTGCGAAGAAAACTCATTTTAAATTGGTTTGACTTTCTACCTCCCAAGTTGTTTGAAGATCCCATACCCTCGAAATTCACCTAATAGAGTTGAGTAACCAGGATGTATAGTTGACTCTCACAATGTATGGATTATGGTCTAGTACATGAAAGCGCAAGTAGTTACTGAGTTACATAGCCATTCAACTGTCCGAAGACAGAGGGAAATCCTTAAAACTTTTATCATGAGTTTTCCACCTAACAAGTACAAAGAACTTCAGAAATATGAAGTTTGATTTCAGGTTGTTAAGATAGTTGAGCACATTGAGCGCTTCGCATCTCTAGTAAATTACATCAGTCTCGATCACCAAATAAATTTCAGCATGAATACACAATTCTGAGTAACCGGTATCAACTTACATTACCTTCATTTTTGGAAAAACTGAATACCTTTATTATTTTTGAGGAACAGTGGAACAACATTGTAAATCAAACTGAGTGTGTAGAGTGGGATCTGAACTTGGAACTTAATGATTGAAATTCAAGTCTTCTGAGTGATAACCCAATTCACCTGAAAAGGCTAAGTATATATAGGAACAGTATGTAGGATTCTTGAAGTTCAGTAAGAATCGATGATCTTTGGTAAAAGCATTGGGCTATAAAACCATAGGGGGGTTGAGGAGGTGATGAGCTTTAATGGAATAAACTGATGAGATTGAGAACTTATATGAACTGAGATTATTTTATCGGAAAAGCTCGGACTAAGATGAATTATTAATTTAAAAAGTTAATAACAGTTAAATAGCAGGGAGAAACTGTTAACGTAGTGAATGCATTTCACGAGAGAATCTGGTTTTAGACTGAGTAATCTCACCTAAAGTAAATTTCAACGACACATATGAGTAGCTTTCTCCTTATTAATGGATTATCCTAATGATTGGTGGATATTAATTCACTTCTTTATAGTTTAGAAAATCCACTGATTTTATTATTTAGGCCAGTTTTAACCTACTTTAATTCCTACAAGTGAAAATTTGAATCGACGAACTAATATGCTTAGAGCTTAAGTTTGTCAAGGTACACTTATAAAATATAATCATACGAAATTCTTTGTTTAACACTTATGATTTAAATGGCCATAAAATAGACAACCTATCCATCATTTTTGAAGTCTTGTGACACTTAGATCTTAACTAGTTTCTAAGGTACATATATACAATGCTGCTGATGCTTAGAAATCATTCTTGAAGATGTTAATAGTACTTCAGTACGTACTGGACTAATTCCAAGCTTTAGTATTTAGCAAGACCATATTGATTTAAAAATGGTTGTTGATCCGTGTTGTGGTTCAATATAAAAACGAAGTGGATTTTAGATCTGTCATCAATCCATAAAAGATCGTATATGATTAGTGATACTATTTTAAAACTCTTCTAAAAAGATATGACTGAAGGTTGTCCTATATAATTTTAGTGGTTATTTTCGTGCTCCCTACAGCACACCGACGCCTAAATTCGAAAACTTACAAAGGGATCGTCAGACTAAGTAGCCAAAACGGATATCCGATATGGACAAATGAGTGATGGAATACTGTTTATAGCTGGATCAGCTCATTTAAGCCATTAAAACAGATGGTTTGTGGCTCAGTGTAAACATGTGAAATTCGGAAACAAATCATGAACTTCTAAAGGTCAAATTGATAGATTGGATTAAGCGTAACTAACCAAGGTAGATACATCATTGAGGATTATGACATAAGCTACAACAAGCGTGAAAACGAGAACACCATTAGCTAAGTTTCAGTTAATATTTTTGATTTAGCATTCAACGACAATTGATTTTTTCAATGTAAACGCAGCCAAAATTCCCACTTTTACTCTTAATTTATTGTAGTTTGCTTTCTAATTCTAGTAGTGTCAACAATTCAGAAATTCTACTCTTATGTAAGGGATCATTTTAACCGGATCAGCTTTAATATTCAAAAGTCGACAAAACAAAAGAATAGTATTCAGTAGAAGAAATCCTAGCAATGGCGGACTGACAAAAAAGCTATCGATTCAAGGTACTACGAAAACTTTGGATTAAAGTTTTACTTAAATTTAGGGCTAACCTGGTAAATACAAATAATTGTCTTCATGTACCTTTTTGTAGTAATAAACGGTAAGCACGTAAGTAAAGAGAAGTAACAAACAATTAATACGTTCTTCGAAGTGAGCTTTTAGTCATGTTTATATGGAGCTATTATCTGTGTAACTGTACAGTAAGCCTGACTAATTAAAATATACTTTCCGAATGAACTTAAAACAACCGCAACGAGTAGTCAATCAGTTCCTGACTAATCGGAAAAGACCTTATATGTGGATAATTTATGGAAAATTCAACAGCAATATTGCAAAGTGTTAGCCAATGTTATCTAATTAATAAGTCTATTGATTTTTTCTTACGGTTACTCCACCCATAACGATAAACTCGTCCCAGTGGATACCGTCTATCTTCTCAAACCCTTTGAAAGGCCTAAACGGACTTCCAAGATTCCTCATATTTTTCTTAGTTAGGCTCAGATAATTAGGTTAAGGGTTGGAGTCTTTTGGTCCGAAAAGAATAGGAGGCTAAGTGGCCTTTGTTAGTCCTGGCAATGGTGATCTCTCAGTTGATTAAACTTTATCTTGAAAGCGTCGACCACGTGTTGAGGTAATAAATCCCACTCGTTGATGATTCCATGGGAAAGTCGATAGTCAACTGACAAGTAATTTGTTCTGGGCTTGTGAATTTTTTAATGTCCTCGTAAATTCTCTGTTTTGAAAGACAACAAAAATGAGGGCATATCAGATGCAAATTTACCATTCAGTAATTTGAAAGCTGTGATCGATTCGCCTCTGGTTCTTTTACACGATAATGTAAGTAGGCTTATTTTAACCAATCGAGCATCATACGGGAGATTTGCTATTCCGGGAGTCAGCTTAGTTGCAGTTCTTCGAGCCTCTTCCAGGAGCTCACTGTATGCTTTTAGGCAAGGGATAGCTGCTTGTATGCAGTACTCGAGTTTATTACGAACGAATACTGTATACGAAGTCAAAAGGGTTTTAGTATCGACACGGCTAAAGGTCCCGCGTATTGACCATAAGATTCCCCGGCTATCGCATGGCAGTGTGCGGTAGTTTTTAAGTTTTTGCTAACGATGACTTTCAAGTTAATGTGACTGAACGACAGATAGCTCACTGTTATCCATCGTGTATGTATCGACCACCGACAAATTTTAGACCATTCAGATAATTTCTCCAGGTCATTTTGAAGCGCCGAACTATCACCTTTACTTTTTATCCCTCCATATCTTGACATCGTCAGCATATAACAAGACCGATAATGAGAGACTAGGAAGGTTATTTCATAGAGGAGGGACAACACTGGTCCCAAAACTATACAATGAAGCACTCCACTAAGTTGTTTCCCAGCTAGACAATTTCGAGTTCACCCGTACTCTTTGTTGACGTCCAACTAGGAAGTCCCTTATCTATATAAATAAAAAGCCTCTAACCCCGATATAACTTGACTTATATGACAGCCAGTTGTGAGGAACTTTGCCAAAAGCCTTGCTGAAGTCAATGTAAGCTACGTTTATGAGTAAATTTCGGTATTTAAGAGCGTACCAACTTTCACAGGCTACTAATAAGTTAGTGGAACATGAATTACCTGTTCTAAAGTCATGTCGCTTTTCAGAAAGAATCCGGTTTTCGTCGAGGTACTTAAACAATTCCTTCTGAATAATCTTCTCTAAAATTTTAACAGCCACGCTGGTTAGGCTTACGGGTCAATAATCCTCAGGTTTATGTCTTGCACCTGTTTTGAAAACAAGACTTACTATGACATTCTTCCAGCCTTTTGGTAATCCACCCTGGGATACAGATAGATTAAAACATGTGCTTAAGGGATTCGCGAAAAAATATTCCTTATCAAGCTTTTCTTCTTATAAGCTTGTAGACTTGCGGAGGGTCGAGGCATAAATATTTCGAGCTTCCCAATATTGAGATTGTCTTGTCAGCAGCGATATTTTTCCCCTCTTATAGTGAAGGGTGCAAATCTTTTAACTGAACCACGGTGGAGTTTCTCAGACCCCTTGGTGTAGTTCAAGGGATATGTGGTGCAGTGACTTTTATGTACGAATTTCTGGGTGCGTTCCAAGCCGTTTCACTGGAGGACTTTGGTCTTAATGGCCGGGCTGGTCAACGAGTTTCTATTCGAAATAATTTTATGACGGTTCAGTCTTCAGATTTTTCAAGTCTACCGTAGGTCCATTAAAGTTTCCTACGATTAAACACCGATCACTTGATGACCAAGAGCTGAAACCGTCTAACAAGACTTTACCCACTTAAGTTTGAACTTCGGTAGACTAAAAACAATCAGCGACTCTTCCCTTTTGTATTTCAAGTGGCAATTAACTAATAAGTACGTCCCACTTCTATAGGACATGTTATCAATAACGACAGATGGGATAGTATTTCGAATGAATGGAGCTACTACTAGTCCCCTACTGTCTATAGACTGCAGCAGCCAAGTTTCTGGCTTGGTAGAGTCTATCTGTAGCTCCGGACATTTGCATAACAGATTTGAGGACCATTTAAATGGCTCCATGATGCACCCAAAGTGGCTTCAGAGCCTCACCACCCGAAAATTTACAATTTTAAGGTCATTCTTGCCACCATCCAACCCTAGTTTTACTTCTTTCTCAACTCATCTTTTTATATGGTCCGCGAGCAGTAATTCTTTGCGGACAAAAATCCTGACCCCTTTAGTTTATGTCCATTCCATTCATTAAGACCATCTCTAATCAAATTTCCTTTTCAGGTACCTCCAGAACAACCCTTCCACGGTGTGGGCATCCGCCCTCATATCTCTAACAGCACTAAAGACCACCGTAGTATCAAGTTCCTTTCACTAATACTTTTAGAAGCCTGGTTTAATTGTTTCAAGTCCATTTGGCTACCCAGTCTATAAACCCTTAATAAGGTGACTTTGGAGATATCCTGAGGCGTTAGCTAGTTTAGTACGTATTTTACCAACTCAATGTTATGCTCAAAACGAGTTATGGGTTCTGAGCTTTCACTTTCCTTGACTCTATTGAAGACAACTGACCTTTCAATATGATCAGTCTTCAATTTCTCAGCTGCTATTTCAGGGACAAACTTTTCTTTAGCAACATTAAGTCATTTTTTTATGATTGATCTTTACCCATTCATCTACATTCATTGGAGTAGCAATTACAGTCGTGTTACAGTATCCTGGATAACTGTCGATAACTTAGGTAGTTAGGTTGTTGTTTTTCTCGCTAGAAATAGACCTAGCCTTGCGATTGGTTCTCCAGGTGTTTTTGTCCGCTGCCATTTGGAGGGCGAGGAGCAGAAAAACTTCCTTTTTTGAGCTTTTATTTCTAACAGACCTCTTTGAATTCTATCCTCCCTCCTTCAGTCCGCGTAAGTTAATCGACTCTGAATTTATTTAAGGTAACTTTACATCAATTTGTATGTCGACCGAGAGAGTACCACTTAATGTCTCAACTACGCTTGTTAATACTCCTTTTAGCAGCAATCACCTTTGCAATGGCTTCGCGTCCAAACAGCATTGCTGACAAAATCAAATGCAACTAATTTTACTAAACCCTTCGAAAACTACAAGCGTTAGATTCGTGATATTATCATTTGCACTCATTGCACTGCATGATGGTTTGCACAGGGTATAGACAGTTTGAGAGTTGATAATTGCTTTTTTACACTGCCCAGTTGTCAGTCAGAGGTTTTAAAAAAGAAACTGCACACAAACAATACCCAGAGACAATAGGAAGTGATCACTATAGAAAAGTGAACTGAATTGTTAAACCAAGCGTAGAATCAAATACAAGAACTACCAATGTACTCAAAAGTACAGTTGGTAGATTACTTTTAAAAAAAAGTACTTTGGGAGATTACTTTAAAATAATCCCAATTAAAACGAAAACAGTAGTCTTGATGCGTAGTAAAAGGTAAAACCAAGAAAACCAACCCAGCGAAAGAAAATACCAGTCCTTTTTAAATAGCACGCGTGGTAATACGAACATATATTAGTACGTAGTCATACTCATTCATGAACTTCATGCGATAATATGGGAGAAACTCTATAATTAGCTTATATACAACATTCAGAACTAAAAGTCAGGATTCTGGGGTCGAGACAATTACATAAAATTGGTCATATACAGTCTTCAAGGACAGAGTGAAGTGCTTGTAATCATTTGTACTCCATAGTATTAATTAATAGTTCTCATGAGAACCATTTCTTGAATAAAGCTGCAGCTTTCTTCAAGCGTTTTAGGCAATATACAAGTGTGGTTTTACTTTTCATCACATTGTAACGGTTCACGTCCCGCCTGTAGGCACTTCGGTATTAAAGGGGAGTGCGGAGTAGTCCGCGGACTGAGCTGGAAATGAAGCATAGTTGACAGCACAGTGGTAGCACAAAACCCACATACACTCAGTAAGGAAATTAACAGACCTCGAGCTCCCAAATTTGGGGAAGCAGCTATAGTGAACTTTGGGGAAATGGCACAAAAGCTCCAAAATTTCCACAAACATTGGTGAAGGTCATTTGACTTCGGGAGTTTCCCCAAAACTTGGGACATTAATCAGTGGCAATACAAGTCAAAAATGAAAAAAACCTAGAGATTAAGACTGGAAGTGGGTGGAACCTTAGTTGTACGCAGCGGTCTAGATGACCCTAAAATGCACTTGTACAGTTGTCACTTAAAAACCGAGCCAGATATCTGTCTTTACAAATCGATACTACTGACTTTGAATTTTCTATGGACTAGCTTATTTCTTTACTAATCCGAAAGTATAGTATTGTCAGACTATAGAAAAATATAATAGTTACCATGACTTCATCTGACACCAGACGACTGATCATTTCGTATTCATGTAATTTGCCTAACTTATCTTCAAGCAATAGAGGAATGATCAGTAGATAGTCGGCTAAAAAGCAACATGTAAAAATGTCATGTTATGAATATTCTGTCCCATTTGACTCAAGGTGCATTCATCCTCTACGTTTCCTCATATAGCGATCTCGGGCTCGTAACCACAGAGAACTGAGACAGCAGATCAAACAATATGGAGGATGTGGAAAAAACAGATTTATCCTTTATGCGAAGACAACATGATTTTATCACCTCAGATTTGTTCCGAATGATGTTTGAGACGTACGTACGGCCTCAATTTGAAATCTGCTTTTTGAGCTTAAAGAAAATCAAGTATACCAAACCGCTTCAATGCGACTAAATTAACGGAACATCATCACTTCTCTCATGGTGACAACCATCGAAAGACTGCACACGAAAGAGCGAACGTCTATTCACGCCCTCACTATTCTCACTAAGGGTTGCCCTTATTATGAATATTCTCCCAGTCGAAGTGACCACATCTCCATCAGTGAATAGCTTTGAGAGAAGACTTGACAGATATACTCACTTACAGACTACCACGGTTGTGTATATTGCTTATGCTGACAGATATGAGTAATACGTGGTAGCAATAATGGATTCAATCTATGATTTTAGCATTTTATCAAGGCACTGTGTAGGTTGCATGAAACAATATATTGGTTTTTCTCACCAAGTTTCAGTTCATTAAAACATCTCCTTCGCGGACCAGCTGTGTCTGATGCATGACTCAAATTACTACAGTTATAATTAGTGGAAACCTGTAATTACTTCCTATGTATCGTATTATCGTCTCCGTTTCCCTCTTGTACTTTCATTTCTGTCCTTTTTAAACATAATCATTTAAGCAAATAATTTATTTACTCTTGACACAATCATCTCTTGCTATTTGAACCATCACTGTGTCATTTTCGTATTGCAACCAACCAACCTCCTCTCCGGTAATGTGGTAGCCACTGGTACCTATAAGCCCTACTGCCTTGAGACAACCGCACTCACCCAACTACAAGATATGCAAATCTACGAATAACTACCGAACTTACTAGAATAAAGGTAGTCCATTGACTAGACTATCATCCAGTTGATATTATCAAAAACTTAGAACCATGCCTAAACAACAAGAAGCGAGCGCAAAGAAGTCAATCGGATAACATAGGATTGCGAGAAAGATATTGGGCATTGGATCTTACTGATCTGAATGTTAGAAATAATGTACTGTATGTAAGCAAACATTACTAATTTATTACTCTACCCAAGCCTATTTCAATATCCATGGGTTGTTACCAATGTCGTTAATATACCTAGGGTTATCAGTCCAGTCGCGACATTTAACATGGGTCACATGTCTGAAAATGTATCAAGAGTTCCATTGTCTGAGATGGCAACTGATGAGTGAAACTCCAGACTGACAGTATAAATTAAACTCGTTGATGAGGTATTCTCTTATTAAGTACTATATTAGCTTAAAAAGACCCAACGATTTCAAGTTTGCCTCCTGTATCTTTTTCACTATCCAACATATTTATAACGAGCTGGTGAAAAACAGATAATTTCCTTGCAATCACTTCCTGATACCAGGATACATCCTTATGCTTTCAATATCTTTTAAAGTCAGCAGTTTAGTCGCTCGACTGCATTAGTCCTAATACGTTTGACAGATATATTGAAGGTTAGGGGTTTATAGAAATTACAACCACTACACCATGCGGCATTTGGCTGGTTAGTTGCAACATGAAAGATTTTAGGATTGGAATTATAAAGAGATCGAGGATAACAAAAATCTTAGTTAAATAATTAATACGAACATAATTTACACCCATGTGGCCATAAATCGATACCCGAAATATGTAGTCTTGTACGTTTGCGATACTAATCCTGACCACATTAATTTTACTGGACACACTACAACTGAAGTTGCCTAATCATCTTCAGTTGTTATGCCTCGATTTGTCCTCCCACTACTATGCGGAGGATAACTTGTCTAAATCTAGATTAAGACATTGACGCGATAGACTGATTGGCTTAACCTTGAGGCTGGTATGCGTGAGTTCGAAGTGAGACGAACTGTTTAGGGTAGAAAGACGAAAAAGATTCGATCACCTAATTGGCTGGCAAGCACTAGAGAGAAAAAAAGTCAACACTACCCGATTTATGCCTAATTCCGATCTGTTTCTCGACTCAGATCAGTGTAAAGAGATGCATGAATAAATAGATGACTAACCAGACCATAACGCACAAACAACTAGGAAAATACAATTACATCCAGAACTGGAGATTAAAGTAGAAAACAGAGTAAAAAATATTACGTTTGAATTAAAATAGTTCTGTAACAGACAAGGTTATGGCGGTCAATCATCCATGAAAAGAAAGCTCATGGTCTGTAAAACAAAATGGGATCAAAAATAAATGCTACTGTTTTACAAGATCTGAATTAAATGAAATAACGTCCCCCAAAATAGCATCCATAGTTTGTCAAGGCTTCTTGTTCCTCTGTTCACATCATCAGAGGATTCCTCACAACAAAGAGTAAGTCTATATCATATACGTTTTCAACTCATCTACCATTCTCCGTGTATATATCCGACTCACGTCATTTTGATGGAGTTTTGTTCTCTGAGCTGAATGGCTCGGTCGTGGAGCTTTCATCGTTCTTCTGAACGACATCATCAGCGCAAACTTCAGATAGAGGTAAAGTGTTCGAATTTCTCCATATGCGTTTCACAGCTTGTTCTGTACACTTCTATGTTGACGGGTTCTTATTGACCTTAAATTTATCATTGTTTACTTCTTTGTTTTGGTTGTATCTCCCATTGGTTTGATTTTTGTTCCTATATTTCTGCATAATTTTCCTGATTGGTTGATAAATTGGATCAATTTCAGTGTGCTTGTTGATTGCTGATTGACCCGAGTGTCAGGCTTTTAAAAATTCTCTGGTGTTTTTGGAATTTCCTCTGTCCAAGATTTCCACATTTTTCCAATCGAATGAGTGTCCTCAGTTGTCCACGTGTATTGATATAAGTGAGAAGATATCACGGAGTTTGACTGCTAATTGATGTTCATGTAGGCGAAGGTGAAGTGGGCGTCCGCCTTGTCCGATGTAGTGTTTTTCGCAGTTGGCATAATTTATTTTGTAGATGATGTTTGATTTGTCTTCCTTTGTTATTTCATCCTTTGGTTTGCATAGGATTGATTGTAGTGATTTTGTCGGTTTGTGTGCCACACCTATCCCGAAGGTTTTCAGCAGTCTTGTTGCTGTTTCTGATATGACTTTTATGTATGGTAGGGCGATCCTTACGTTGATTTCTGTGCTTGAGTTAGGTTCTGATGCTGCGTGAGGTTGGTATTTTTTGATGAAGTTGATTGGGTAGCCGTTCTTCTGAAATAGGTCCTTCAGCTACTTCTCTTCATTTTTTCGTGCTGCCAGTGTCCTCGCCCTTCTGAAAAAAGTGTGTACGCAGTTGATTTTGTGAGCTCTTGGGTTGCTGCTATTGTATTTGAGGATTTGATCTGTATGGGTCGGTTTCCTATACATTTGAGTTTCCAGTTTTCCTGTGTCGGTTCTAGTGATTAATATATCGAAGAATGATAGCTTGTTGTTTGACTCCTGTTCCATTGTGGACTTGACGTCATCGAAGACGTTGATCAGCTTGTAAGTGTTTTCCAGCTCATCCATTTTGACGATGACAAATGTGTCGTCTACATGGCGAATCCAAATTTTTGGCTTGATTAATTGTAATATCGCGGCTTCTAGTCTTTGCATCACTGCTTCTACTATTAGAGCAGTGCTAATATTATAGTAGACCACAATTCTACATTAGTACCTGGGTGGGTGTAACATCGTACCTTTGTATAAAGTGAAGACTTGTATAGCCTCTGAACAAGCCACTTATGTGCAGTTTGAGCTTATACATGATCCTGGGAAATCTTTTATGAAGAAATGAGGTGTGCCATAATGGTACCTTTATTTTATTCAGAAACATTTGATCACTCAGGCAGTTTTTAAGCAAAGATAGCAGTATTCGGGAAAGTCTACTTCACTAACTTTGTTTACGAAGAGAGCATGTTGAAAAGAGTAGAATTCTTTCTCTGGTTCTATATGGTTTGTCCAGCCTCCAGACACTGAGAGTAGTCAGGAGCCCGAAAATTTTCTTTCCCAGATATTTGTTAGATTTTGTGTAAAGTCTCACCTTGCCTATATGTTGGCTAAATTTACCAACGGTTTGTCCTTATACAATTTTGTTCGTATTATAAAAAGAGCGACTGATTTGCAAAACGTTTGATCTCTCCAATCTCATATTTAAAGGTTGAAAGATAACATAATTTTCCGCAGTTTTGAATGTTGTTCGGACACTTGCACTTACCTTTTACGCTTGTGACCCCTCATGGAGGAGTATAGGCCGCCCATCAGCATTCTCCACAGAACTTCGACCTGGACAAACCTTTCCAGTTGTTCTCATTTGCTATTTATTCTTTTGATGTCTGCTCACAATTCGCGATCAGTTGTATCCCTTGATCTCGCATTTTCCCGTTTCCCTTCAGTATTCCAAGCTAGAACTTGTCTCGTTATGCAATTTTGAGATTTCTAAAATCCTCGTCCTATCTACCTCCAACGTCATTTCCTAATTTTCTTTTTGTTACGTGCCACAGTAGGTTGTTGCTGATGATGTCCGTGCTCCTCTACAGATGTTGAGGTTTTGATAATCCAGTCAACCACCAGAGAAAAGAACAATGATGAAAGTAAGCAGCCTTGTCTAACGCCGGTCCTCGCTTGGAGTGCGTCTGTAGTCTGTCCTGCACCCACGACGTTTCAGTGTAATCCACCGTATGA